CTCCCCATGTTACAATTAGAGGGCAATCCTTGGAGGATGTTGAGCATTTCCCCTACCAGAGTAGCCACCTTTCCCCAAAAAGTAAAGAGACTACACTCATAGAAATCATAGAGAAGGCTGGAAGGGACTTCTATAGGTCATCTAGTTCAGCTTCCTGCCTGAGACAGGATCATCCCTAACCAAACCATCCTATACAAATCCATAATCTCTAACCTCTTAGTAAAAGTACCATCAGCCCTGACACAACACAAGACATAGCAGTAGATAAAATCTACGAGTGCTGCTTTTGGAATTCTCTAAAATTGTGGCTTTGATGATCATAACATCAGGACCCAAATCAAGCTTATCATCCCTAGCTTGTTATGTAGGCATGAAACATGGATGACAGATATGAAAGCTTTGGAACATTACCATCAGCAATATCTTTGGAAAATCCTCCATTGGAAGGACAGAAGAACAAATGCCAGTGTTCTGGCTCAAGCAAACACCAACAGCATTGAAGCCAAGTTTATAGGGTACCAGCTCCATCGGACATGACATGTCGTAAGGGTGCCTGACAACCAGCTCCCAAGACAGGCCCTATACTACTTCAGCAATGGTCATCTCTCTAGAGGTGTGCAAAAGAAGAAATTCAAGAACACCCTGAAGGCAAATCTGAAACAATGCAACATTAATATCAACACCTGGAAGACTCAAGCACTGAATCATCCCCAGTGGCATGATGTACAACAAGGCATCAATCACTTCGTGCACACTCACCTCATTATGAAAGCAGATAAGAGGAGAGACACAAAAGGAAAGAGCTTTAACTCAACATGACTGAGATCCACTCCTTCCTTCTGCAGCTATTTTCCACATCTGCAGTCAAATATGCAGCATGAGGATCTTGGCTCAGCCTCCTCAGTCATCTCCAGACTCAATAACGACATCCCCATTTACTGGAAGACTGTCATCCTTGTATCAAGGGACTGCCAATGAGGATGAGGAGTTTGACCCTGAAGTCACCTGGTGAGATTCTTTGGCCTGGGCTGTGTGGGACATAAGACTACATGATCACAGTGGTCCCTTTCTTGCCTCAGAAATCCATAAATCTATATTCTGAAGATATTTCGAATAGTGTCAGCTACAATAGCTTCATCTCTGCCACTTGGAATCAGCTAAGATGCTTTAGGCATCACTGGACACATCTACACATGCAGTTAATGTGACTGAATATACTCTGGCTCAAATTGAGCCAGAGTAAACTAATCCCAATGTCACCATCTACATGGACGTTTAAGCACGGTACTTTACTGTGCTGCCAGATACCACTTGCATCTGGCAGGACGGCAGCGCAGTAAATTAGTCTACTGAGCCCTAATTGCCACGCATATATAGACAGTGATGCTTTACTGCACAGCAAATTAGTCTGCTGCACAGTCAAGCGTCTCATGTAGACAAGCCCACTATGAAATAAGGAATGTGTCACAGTAAATTAAAAGATATAATAGCAACTCTAATTAGAAACAGAAAGTGAAAGAACTGATTCTGAGCAATTTTCTGTTTGCAGATGTGGCTTTGATTGCCCACAGTGAATCTTTCCTGCAAAATCTCTTGGGCAGATTTTCTGAATCATGCAAGAGCTTTAGGATGGCAAATAGTCTCAACAAGACTGTGATCACATACCTAGGGGTGAAAGAACCAATACCAGACATCACTCTGGAGGATAAATCTCTTTGTGTTGTTAACAGTTTTTTGCTACGTGGATTCTACAATCAGCAGAAATTTTGACCTTCAGACTGAACTAACAGAACTGGAAAAGCAGCTAAGAATTTCAGGCTATTACAGGAACATGCATGGAAAAACAGCAAACTATCAGCTAAGGTGAAGATATGAGCCTACAAGACTTGTGTACTGTCATCCCCGCTTTATGGTTCAGAAACGTGGACTACATATATGCAATGCTAAGCTATGTGGAACCACTTCCACGTGAGATGTCCATGTAAGATCCTGAAAATAAAGCAGAAAGATAGAATATCAAACACAGACATGCTGGAGGGCACAGAACTGACACACTTAGAAACCACTGTCAAGAAGAAAAGGTTGCAATGGACCAGCCACATCAGGAGACTGGGAAGAGACTATCCCCATGAATATTTTATATAGTGAGATTTGAGATAGCTCTAGAAAGCGGGGTCACCCTCTCTGGTGGTACCATGTGTGCAAAAATGATGAAGTTGTTCAACATCAACATAGAAAGCCAAGAGGAGCACACAGTATCCCATCCAATCTGGAGGGAGCGCATGGCATTGGGTGCAGCTCAACATAAAGCAGCTTTGATCCAGAGGATGGAAGCAAAGCGAGAAAGAAAACAGTGTGTTGTAAAGTTGGACTCCAACTCAGACAACTTATGGATCTGAGACTTATAAGAAGCTGTGTCGCTCTCAAGTTGGGCTTGTCAGCCACAAGAGGATGCATCCAGCATCTGACTAGACCTCTTCCGCATGCACCATGACCCAGATGATTCACGGTTGCTTACTAGAATTAGGAGGGGCTTTTTCCCCTAATGTAAGTAAAGTCACTTAGGGCTAGAAAAGTTTGGTGTTGGAGATGGATATGGAAATTCTAGCATAGTTCTTCCATCCTGTGCTGCTCCCACCCAGATTCACTCAAGAAAAACACCAACTTTTCAATGTTGATACCTACATTCTGCCTATGCTGCAGCCAAGTAACAGTGAAGATTATGAAGCAAGGAAAAGGATGGCGAAAACTCTGCCAAGATTGTGTTGGACAACACTTCACCACCCACGTATGAAAAGTTTGGACTTGAACACATATATGGCATGCTTCCATGGTAAAGGACTTACCTCTGATCCTATGTACTTTATATGGCCAGATCTGGTCACACCCCTTCAAATTTGCTTCTTTCCTCCTTCTGCTTTGTCCCTCTCATTCTACTTGGTCTTTTGGTACAAAGTTGTTTTTCTTTGCACACAGATTCTGTAATAAGAATTTGTTTCTGTCGCTTCCCTTTTATTGTTTACCTGAATGCAATATTATGCAATGTGGGAGGAAACATTCACACGTGCAGAGTAAGTGGGAAATACCGAGTGCTTTTAGCATTGTTGGCTACCATGAGGGTAACACTGTAGTGGCAGAAGCCAGCACTCCTGCAGGCAGTCCAGTGACTTTAATTCCCCTTTAATTACTTTTTCAGATTCAATGCAAGTTTTGCACTGTTTCCTAAACAGTTCACCAAGGGCTTTCATCTTTTGGGATAGTCAAAAACTTATTTCCGACTATCCTATGCAAACCAGAGATTTCACTGGTAATTGAGATCAGGTTTAAATTAATCCATATGCCAGGGAGTTATCTTCCAGCAATACAGCTCTTAGTGTCAGGTTATCCAAACACTACATCATAATGAACCTGGAATCAATAACAAACACTCTAATAAAGTATTTATCCTGGTAGCTGCTGGTTATGAGCTGAACTGTGTAATACATAGGGAGAGAAAGGAGTGCCATTCTAAGTTGGGCTGTGATCCTAAAAGCTAAGCAGAGAAAGTACTGATCAGTGCCAGTTTGTGAAACCATAAACATAAAAAATTAGGACACTGCACAGAGGGTATTTTTTATTTGCTTGCCTCTTTCGACTCATCAGCACCATGCAATCTAATCATAGGTGTGATTATGGCTGTAGAGATGTCTTCTAGATGAGATTTAAAACTCTGGCCTGGGCCACTTCAATCATCAAGGATCCAATAATATTTTTCACAAGAGAAGGAGCATCAGACCGCATCTGCTGGCCTGTAACCAACACATATAATGAAATTCTCTCCATATGAATTTCCCATGTAGATTTAATGGAACTCGGTACTGCTCATATTCTCAGGTAGTGCTGCTGTACTCTGTACTCAGTTGCTATTCTCCAACCAAGAATTCAGGGATGAGCAATGTGACTGCTTCTTCCCTCTTTCAGTACCAACACACATTCTCTCTGTATGCAAATAGCACATACATGTGCATGCACATGCACACGCATATACACACACACAGAGGAAGGTTTTAAGAGAGACAGACAGAACCTGCACACATGGTGGACTACAGCTAGATGGCTCTGATTTAGCTAGATAAAGATATACAAGGAGCAATCAAAGCTTTTTCGGCAGTTAGGACACGGCCAAGATTCCACTGCCACTTGCTTTGCAGAACGCAGCTAGTTCATTATAAAAACTAACAGTGTTGGTGAAGGGAGTGTGAGGGGTTCGACAGGTTTGGGATGCAATACAAAAATGCTAAGAATTCTGTCAAAGCCTAAAAACGGTCCTTCTCTAATGAAAAAGTAAACCAAACCCCAGGAGAATGTCATTACTTTTTGTGCTGAACAATGCAGGTATCCAGCAAAAGCAGGAAAGGAAAGCAGCCAATAGCAACTTAATAAAAATATATATATATAGCAGGCTGGAGGAAAGAGTACTGCCTCTGAGCCAGAGGTGAAATCTTGGCCCCATTGAAGTCAATGATAAAACTCCCCATAACTTCAGCGGAGCCAGGATTTCACCCTAAGATTCTGCCTCTGAAGTCAAAAGTCTTTACATAAAAAAGGGAAATGATTTCCACTGCTAGTTCAATGATAGCTTAATGAAGTATTTGTTACAGCTCTCCTTGCTGAGGGCATCTCACAGCACTTTGATATATGCAGCAAGTTAACAGGCAGCGAAGAAAAACCTCTGTCAAAAAGTTGCACTGAATTAAAAACATTTCCATTGTAATACTCACCTTTCATGACAATTTATTTTGCCTGGTTTCTATTACTATGCAACAGACCTCAAAAATAACAGCACAGTACAGCATGATACCACTAACCAACATCCCAAGGGATAATATTGTGGCAAATTTTTTCCTAACATGATGTAGAAATTAGTGTTTTAAACATAAGACCCTAAATACAATTTAGGTCAAAGCCAAAGAATTTTGTCACATACATGTATATACTCAACTATGCAGAAACAAAGTAGAGAGGTATTTTGATTTTCCTGTTTTTATTCAAAGTATTTGCATAATAGATCATTTTCTAAACATGCTCCCCCATCTCTTTTCAGAGCTCATTAGAGAGACTGTCAAACTTTTAGGCTTGACTGTTCATTTATCCATGGTTGACACAATACACCAATTAAGGTTTGGGGGGAAAGGGGGAAAAGGGGGCTTGCTTAATTCTTTGTTGCAATGATCATTTAAAAATCGTGTCCAAGAAATCCTTGGCTTCCTACAGGCAAAGTCAGACCATTTGTAGAGAGACTGGTATTTGAGCACGTAAAACTAGAATTGACTCACTTCTAAGTTTTAACCCTATATCCCAGGGATGGTCACTAAAAGTAACTCTTAGCCTTAAGATCCTACAAATTAATTACTGTTGTCTATCACTGTATGACTCTGAATTAGTTAAGGATGCATTGTTCATTTCTTAAAAGTTTAATGATTGGAATATTTCTGTATTAGCTACTTGGAAGTGCCTCCAAAATTATCAGGAAGACCAAAAATCCAACAAGTAGACCAAATATTGCTTTAGCAATCATTCAATGTAGATCTAGTTTCCTAGTTATAAACTGTGCTTCTGGTGTCATCATAATAAATGCCTAGATTCAGGGGTGGAAGGTGCCAATCTTTCTTTAGGTATTATCTGACAGGTTTGATGCTGCAGGCTAGGTATACATAGTAACAGGACTACAAAGAAGGAGCCTGTCCCTGCAGTATTTGCTTGGGCAGAAATCCCACTGCTGTCCATGGGAATCCAATCTGAGCCAGTATCACAGAAGAAGACCAAGTCTTTACAATCTGGGGTCACTGTAAGGAATGGTTTTCTACCCACTCGGCAAGTCATGGAGGCCTTGAAATTAGATTAAAAAACAAATTACTGAGACTGTAAGAAAATGGGTAACCAGAACTTTCAGACTAATACGGCTTCATAGAAGAATCTAATGTGGCCTCTGCTGCTGACAGGACTGACTGGTGTTACAGAAGCCACTCACCACTTCTGCAAGCTCTAATGAAACACAAAAATGTCGTAACAAGGTAAAGGCACAATCCTGTAAAATGCTGAGCGCCTGACCCTCCAGTTCAGCAAAGCACTGAAACCCATACTTACCATAAGTACAGGGATGCTCCCAGAGCACATATGTAAAGTGACTTATGTGCTTACACAGGTTGCTGGATCAGGGCCAAGGTGACTGAGCCATTCACAGGATCAAGCCCTGTATGTACAGCTAAGAAGGGGGTTGGTTCTCAAAAGCATCTCACTGTTGCGGTTCTCTGCATGCAAAAGTATAGGGACAGAGGAGGAAATAAGTCACCCAAATGCCCTGCTTGGCTGGGCACCAGGAACAGGATCCATTCGCTTGACAGCAACCCCAGGCTCACTCTGGTAGAGCTGCTGCATTACTAGGTGAGATTACTGTGGACTTGGGGAATACTCATAATTCTGGCCAGGCTCCAAGTTTCCTTCTGGCTTTCATGTCTTGTAGGATAATGGTAACTTGCATTCCTGGGTTTGGTGTTTAATGTTAAAACACTCTTTTAATTTCTAAGAAGGGGCTGTTCAAAATAAAGCTGGTTTTTTATCAGCTACGTGGGACATGTAACCAACATGGGGATTTGGATCTCAAGAGGCACAAGGGACGGACCCAGTGGAGAATGTAGATCACTGCATTGACCAAGCAATATTGTTTAGCTATCAAGTGTTTTCAAAGGAATAGCATTTTTACAAGGTTTTCCATATTCAGTTACTACACAGAAGCAGCTGCCTTGTCAATGAACTGCGCCAGCTTCACATCTCTTTTGGTCAGTCCCCCACAGTCATGGGAAATGAGAGTTATCTGAACCTGTAAAAAAGAGGAAAGGAAAGGGATTACTATTCACATTCCAATCTCCTCTCTGCAGACTGATCAGAATTCAGTGGGAAATGCTGTCTATGCCTCAAGGGGAGGGGGTGCCTCTGTAATGAATTAGACTAGAAAAAATCCTCTGAGTAGACGGCGAATCTCTCTGGTTGTCCAGGGACTGAGACATCCTAGGTGAGCAGGCTTAGCCAAATCTGGAGAGTAACCAAAAAGAGCCCCTTCACAGAGCAGAGAAGTAATTTAGGCTTTGCATTCTTGGGTTTCATCCAAGGAGAAGTGTCTGATTAAATTACTCACTCTTCACATTTAAATTCCACGTATTGGTTTCACAAAGAATTTGGGCCAACAACCAAGTTGCAAAACAGTCAATTCAGTGACTTGAGTGTTATGTTAAAAAGCATGCTCCTAAAGGTGAAGCAACTGGTGAGCTCTTGGCAGTCTTGGAAGCCTGGGAAGTCTTCACAAGTGAGACGTGAGCACTTTGCGCAATCAGCTCTTAACACAGGGCTGTCCAACCGCTAAGTGGCCAGGGGCCACATACCATGCAGCAGGGGCCACACCTGCACAAGCCCTATGGGTTGCCATGCAGGCGGCTTCCCTCCTCTCCCCACAGCTCCCTGGCCACAGGCTCCCCAAGCACTGCAGGTTGTGCCAGGCAGCCGCCGG